GAGATTACACAGGCACTAGCTTGTTTGGAGTTAACCATTCAAATGTTTGGTGTTGTATGGTTTATTTTTAAACACCAATATTCGAGGTTATGAGAACAAGTTGACATTTCGAAAGTACGTTGCGCAGTCAACAAATCTTGTTGAATTTACCGTTTATCCTTGTCTATCTTATTGTCAGTCTGTATAATTTCATGGTTACCGGAGTTTTAAATAATTGCGAAGCAACAAGTATTTCCGCTACGTTAATTAGACAGATTACCATCAATAATATTGCTGCCGTATTTCTGATATAGGTTTTTGCAAATTTCTCAGTTTTTAATAACAATTAATTTCTTTTACTATTTTTTCTGTACTTCTATAACAGCGCCAGACAACACCTCCAGAGGAATGACGCCAATTTTGAATCACCCTGTATATCAGCAAATGTAAACTAAATATCTTGTGCGTCTATAACACTTTTGTCATGATTTTTTCTGAGCAGCAAGAATAGACTCTTAACATGCTGAGAGTCTATTCCTAACTTGGGCGACTGACCCAAAGAGAACAAATTTTCCAAATTATCGGACTGCGTCATGTCTCCCTATGCGTCATCTTTCCCCTGTTTTACCCTATTTCTTGCGCATGCGCAAAAGCTGAATAATTACTTTTGTATAAATTTATGGGCCCACGGACTGGGTTGGGATTGGGTGGCCGAGATAACACGCTCGGCAAGCGTGGCGCTTTAATTGCCATCAACCTTCCAAACCATGTTAGAGTCGAAATCCAAAATAAGACTACCCCATACGGGTAGATAGAGATTAAGGCTCAGAATCCCATCCCATAAAATCGGGACGTGGACGGCAGGAAGTGGACCGGGATACGCCCAGGCGGACTGGTTAAAATGAAATAGACTTCATCCTCGCAAACAGAAACACCGTGTGCAAAAAGGTCATAGTGCTAAATAGGTTTGACACAGGAAGCGACCATAGACTAGGGCGCGCCAACATAGACAGGATAAGACAGAGACCAGATACTAAATCAAAACCAGAGACGATAAGAAAAAGAAAGAAGACAGAGAGATTCCCCAGAACATAATACCCTAAATAAGACAACGAAAAAGGAAATAAGGATAGACCTAAGAGAAAACAAACACAATCCTCGAAACTATAGAGGAAACTGAAGACATGAAAGTTCTAAGATCAAGCAAGGGAGAGAAAAACAGACAATTGTAAAAATAAATAACAATCACCATCATAAATTAAATATGCACTACAACAGATGAAAAACAGCAAGAGTCCGGGATAAGATCGAATAACACCGGAAATGCTAAAGATAAAACACTAATAGAGAAAATAGTAATGCTGTTAAACAATTGTCTGATAGAGGAAAACATGTTGGAACCATGGAAAAATTACCATCTCGTGCTAATTTACAAAAAAGGGGATCGCTAAAATATAAAAAACTATATACCAATAAGCCTGCTATCACACCTCTATAAACTCTTCACTATAATTATCAACAATCGACTAACTACGAAACTAGAACTCCTACCAACGAGTAGAACAAGCAGGCTTTCAAAAGGGCTTTAGCACTACAGACTATCGTCATAGTCAGTCATCGAGAAAACAACAGAATATAACATCTGGCGTTGAAATCTGGTCTAATCTAACAGCAATAGAAGACGCGAGAATCGGCTTTACCCTTATTAAGAATATCTATGATGAGGCAACCTTTCACGTAAAAATAGACGACGATCTTAAAATAGACATAATATCACAGGGCAAAGGAGTACGACAGGGGCATACCATCTCTCCCAAGCTGTTTATCATAGCAAAACAAGATCCTAAACATCGATATAATCTTGATGACCACCAACATTCAGGAACTCTACAACATGTAAATTACTTAAACGAGCAATCCAAAGAAATATAGACCAAATTAGCAACGAAAATAGAGCTAAAAATGAACATAAACAAGACCAAAATAATGAGCAAAAATGGATCACCATAGATAAAGTTACCATAGAGATTGTTAAACATTACATAAGACATAAAGCCGGAAGTAGCAATGGATCAAACATGCGGCGAGACAGAACCCAATAGATGGACCCAGCGAACGGCACTTTGGAGACCAAGAGAAATGGATAGATGATGTCAGAACGGTAGCAGGAGAACAATGATGATACTAGCGAGATCGCGAGGCATGGATAAAGCTGGAGAAGACGAAAAGAAGAATTTTATCAGGACAATCCAACGACCTGCGTCTAATCATATTAATATATACATATTAACGTTCTGCAGATATAAAGCAGCAGAAGTACAGTGAATGAGGTGGACAGCCAGATCAGAAAAGCATTTGCAAGACATAATTTGGAAGAACAAATATATGACGACAGAGAGTAAGACGCGAATTTATGAGACCTGCGTCAAACCCATAATGACCCACGCCGCCCAAACAAGAGATGAAACATCTGTTGCCTAAAGGGAAATGAGAAGCGAATATGAAAATCCTAAGGAAAAATGAAGGATTCACATTGAATGACAGGATACGCAACGAGAATACCACAAGAGAACTGGGAGTGCAAGACGTTGTCAGATGGGTGAGAAAGAGACACCGGTGATGGAGAGACCACATAGAACGAATGAGTCCAGACCGAATTGTAAAGTGGGCAAAATGCAAAACCCAGAAACAAGGCGTCCAGCTGGCAAGCCCCCAAAACGCTGGTATGAAAGCAAGACATCGGGGTCACAGAAAGGCTGACAGAATTGACAGGACTTTATCCTTTTACAGGAAGAAGAAGAAGATATTAACATCCTATTCGGAAATTACTTATTGACTTTGGTAACATTTGTTTGAAAATGTCTTATGAAAACTTTGAAAAATGGGATATGGGGTGTGTTTACATAGAATAAGAAAATCGGGTGAAACAAGTAAACCCAGCTTAATTTCCCAGATACCCAGAAAAACGCGTATAGTCCATTTTTTTCAGAAGCTGGGAAGCAATTTAAAATACATCTATAAAAGTTAGATTTAAAAAAATCGTCGATCAGAGAACATCAGAGAAAATCGCTATAGTATGTAAACGTTTACCCATTCCATTCTTCTCAAAATATTGAGGAAACTGTAGGAGGAAATGAAACATTGGAATTTAAAAAAAAACGTAAGTACCGGCCACACCGAATTTCTGTAAATAAAATCGCCAAAAAATGTCAACAAAAGCACCCAAAAAGTAATAACACAATAACAAAATTTTTAAATTGAACAACAAATCAATAAATGTGTTCGGTCGAAGTCAGTGGCGTACCGCAAAAAAGTTTGGCTGAGTAAAATAGGGTTTAGAAAAGAAACACCCCGTAGAATTTCACAACCAGTCGCCTACATGTAAAAGGTCTAAACATTAGCCCACGTTCAAAATTTGATTAAAATATCTCATAAACTGTAGGAGTTAAACCGGAAATACCAAACATTTTTTTCAAACTTTAACACCCTGTATCTCGTTAACTAGGGCCTGAGAAAAAAAAGCTTGAATGGGAGCTCGACTTGTTTTGAGGTCCTCTACACGTCCCTGCTCTGTGTCTATAAGGTTGTGAATCACCCTGTATATACAGGGTGATTCAAAATTGGCGTCATTTCTCTGGAGGTGTTGTCTGGCGCTGTTATAGGAGTACAGAAAAAATAGTAAAATAAATTAATTGTTATTAAAAACTGAGAAATTTGCAAAAAATTGTATCAGAAATATCAGGCAGCAATGTTTTTCAAGGTAATCTGCCTAATTAACATTGCGCAAATACCTATTGGTCCGTAATTATTTAAAACTCCGGTAACCATGGAATTATACAGAGTGACAATAAGATAAACAAGTATAAACGGTCAACTCAACGGGAATCGTTGAATGACGGAACGAACTTTCGAAATTTCAACCTGTTGGAGGATAAAATTGGAGTTTATAAATAAACCGTACAACACCAAACATTTGAATGGTTAACTCCAGACCAGCTAGTGCCTGTGTAATCTCCTTGTTATCCACTCTTATCAAGCAGCTTCTCGTATTCAGTTAATTAACTCCTGCTCCATTTGTATATCCCTGTGCTGTGTGTATCGTACAAATGTGGTAGGAATGTAGCCGGTATTTATTTGGTGCCTGGGAAAGTGTCAGTGGTTGTGCTCTGAGTGCCCCTGGAAGGCCCTAATTCGATTATGTTCAATACTTGCTCCTCTGTGTGTGGAACCCGAACATCGATTGTCGTTCACTATCCTCCTGGAACCACTGTTCTCGCCCTTTGTTGCCGTGAGCTCTTTCAGCTTCTGCTATGTTACTGAAGCATTTCCCCTGAACTAATCGCATATCCGCAAATTCGTGAAAGGAAATTCAAAGTAAGTCACGGTTTGACAAATTATTGTTATTATTGGCAAGGGCTATCCACCTGTAACTATCTGTTAATGACAAAAAACATCATTGCCGCTGTGTCTTTTTATCAAAAAATTGTAGAAGATAACTTTTTTGATATCAAATCGTCAATGAATTTTTCGTAATTTGAAGCAAAGATCGTAATTTTTCTTTTTGGATGCTTAAGTAGTCCAATATGCTACCAATTAAACATGGAACAATTTCAAAATAATGCTTAAGAACAAAGTTGAAATTCGATCTTCAACTGTTAATATCTTCTAGAAATTTTCGAAAAAAAAAGTCAATATTTTTCTCGTACTTGGAAGGAATTACCCCAATTTTGAATCACCCTGTATAATTTATGGTGGTATGGCAACAACGCTGAACAGACGATTGAGGACGTGCGACTAGAGTTATAGTGTGCGAAGTATACCCAAAAGCATTAACATGGGCTAACACAATGATAAAATTATTGTGAAGTTACTTCATACTATTGATATAGAATGTTTCTACTACCATTCAGCCAGCATTCGTTGTAGTCACTTCACCGATTATTAAAATTTCCCAAGTGCTCAAATAGAAAAATAAATACACCTTGTAATTGCAGTAAATAAATCATTCTGTTTACCTGTAAAACCCAAAGTAAATTAACTGATTGATTGATAGATTGATGCCAAATTTATCGATTGCTACTAAACTTTATTGCTATAAAGGCCAGAAATTATAAAACACCTTTCTATATTCAAATGTTGTTAATTCGAGTCATGGTTGAATATGAATTTGATAATTACCTCAGCTTTCTTAATTGTCTTCTAATTACTTCACCTTGTGCTAGAACCAATTTCAACAGTTCCTCGGTACTGGAGGGTTCCTTTCCTCCATTCAACATTTGAAACCGTCTTGGATGCAAAGTATTACATAAACTTCTGTCCGAATGTGTGCTGGCATCCGATCGGCATTTCGTCCGTCGATTCGAAGATCTTCCCGATCTTAACCGTCTTAAGGACATTTTCACCTAAAATTGAAATTTATTGAACTGCAGGTTAACGTTGGCAAGATGGCAAGATTAGTCAGTTTATACGCCACGGAAGATTGCGGCTAAACTATTGTTGGTAGTTTACATGCGAAAAAATCCAATTATCAAAATATATGGCATTGCACGTTACTCTAAAACGGAACGAATTTATATCAGTTTTTCGTTAATCTGGTAAAATGTCTTCAATACTGTTTATCAAGCATCTCGCATGTACACTGCAAGAGTTCCTGACGGTACGTCAGCTGTCATCCAAGTAGTCATCTGACAGACAGCAGTCATCCTACTATAGCCGTGTGATGACCAAAAAGGTTGTTTTGCAGATGGAAAACTTTTGAGAAAAGGTCATGTCTTCAGAGAAAGTGTAACAACATAAACCAAACAAGTCTTTGTAATAATTTGCAAAACTACGGTTAACAGCACTGCAAAAATTCAGCTTAAACTCGCAACTCAAACTTTGCATAACTCAAAGCGAGTGGGTTGTAGATGGACGTTTCAGAGTTGTGCATCTGCCAATAGGCGCAACTTTCCGTATAAATCTGATTAAAATCCACACCAATTTAGAAACATCCAGAATCAACCAAGAGGCACACATTGAGTCCTGCCTCGTAAAAGAAGATTTCAATAGATTTTTTGAATTTTTTAATCAATCCACTTAATCTAATATTATTATTAGGTATTCCGTTGTACAGAAACACAAATGGATGGAGCGCCGGCTCATTTTTAGTTTTTGTTTTAAAGCGAGGACTTCTTATGGCACGGTATAAGCTCATTGGAATGCGTTACGATGCCGTTATGTCTGGAATAGATAACGTTGCTCTAAGAAAAATTGTGTTTTTCCGGCCGCTTTGTATTATGCGATTATGCGAGCGTGAATCTTGAACGCCACGAGATCAAATTTAACTACTGCCAGTAGGCCTGGATAACACTGTGTTGATTTGTTGCCGATCTCTGAGTGGTATAGTCATTTAATAAAGCGGATGAAAGCTTTACGAGACTCGAGACCGGAACAACATTCCAAAGAACTAAAATAAGCAACGTTTTCCGATCCACGGAACTGAGTTACTGCGCCGGTGCGTTGGGTTGGCACGTTGGATTGGCGCAGCATTGCGCCAATTGAACTAAAAATTCACTGAGTTACTCAGTCCTACACTTGCAGAAGATTATTAAAACTCTTTGATTAAACTGGGTCGGTAAGTGACACGCGGTCGCTTCGGTCGCTCAACTGAAAATAGAAGAAGTTGACTTGGCTCCTGAGTTCAAGCCTGAAGTCGATGGGAAACGAATAGCTTTTTATTGGACTTTAAAACAACGACAATTAAATGATTATTTTCCATTTCCGAAAATAGTCTTTAGTGATAAAGCCCATTTTTCACGCGTGAATGTTGAGAATCAGATGCATCTCAAGGTAGCCACCCAAATGAAAATTTTAAGGCAAATTTCCAAATATAGATCTCTACGCTATGTAGATTTAGCGGACAGAGCAGACAAACTGTTCAATGATTACACGAGTTATTGCCTGATTACTTCTTGTTCTTGAGATCGGCTTGGCCTCCCAGATCGTGCGATTTAAGGTCTAGTGGCTTATATGGTCGGGTTTTTTCAAACTCGCGCGTTAATATGATCAAACCGTCCTGGATTAAATCCTTAAAGGACGAGAATCAAAGGGATAGCGCATAAATAGCGGCAAATGTAAGCGAAAAAGCAACAGTCCGTGAAAATTTAATGAAAAGAGAACATCTGTGCTAGCAAACAAAGCAATTTTACTTATAATAAGCCAATCTTTTACCATCAATAGGTGGTCCGTCTTTTAAGTCAAACGCCACGTTGTTGTAAAAAGACTCTTCACCATCATGAATCAAATTAATTAACAAATCAGAAGAGAGACAGTCAGAAATCTAATAATAAGCATGTTTTGTGATTTATATATTATTAGTAATCTCCTCGCCTTACAACATGCATATGAATACGTTTCCGTTTCGTTGAATGCGCACACCGTTTTTTAACAGTGAACGCACCAAGAATCGCTGATGATTGTAGTGGACAGGATCTTGTAGGTTTCTTAGTGATATCGAGTTATTCTTTTTTTGAATCTTTTTAGTTTGCCTGATAACCTTGTTGGTTCATGGATGTATTGTGGTAGCAGCAGGTATTTGCGTCATGATAATGAGGAAGTTTTGCTACTTAATCACTCGCGTTAATATTCTAGCTTGTTCAGGAGTGCTAATAGAGCAACATCAAATATCTCAGTATTAGCAAAAATGGGAAAAATGTCAATTAGTGTTTAAAACTGCCAAAAAAGAGCTCAAAAATTAGAGCCAAGCTTCCGCAGTAGCAATGCACGAGGTGATTTTGAATTTTTAAATACACTTTTCCTACCACCACTACTCACAGTAGTACAAGACACACTACCTAGAATTTAAGTAAGTTACATTTTACGTATTGTAATCGCACGTATAATGTATATCGTATGTATAAAACGCACTGCTCTGTTTTGCACGATTCATTTCTGTCTAAACTGCATATTATTATTCGTCTATTAATATTGTTAAATTAGTAATCTAAACTGTTACTAAATGTATCTGTATAAAATGTCAAGCGAAACTTTAACACCCCCAAATATTATACAAATAACAGAAAGCCACTACGAATTACTTGCTTTGCTACGAATTACATTTGAAGTTTTTTTTGGAGAATGGAAGTAAGCTAACAATAACTTCCAAGAATTATCAGTAAGATGAGAAACCTTTGATTTGGTCTTTTTATTATCCGTTACAAACAACAACATTTATCACAATACAAAGATAACAATTTTATAGTTAAAAAAAAATATCTCCGTATTCCCACAAACTGCAAAAGCGAACGTCAGGTGAATGCGCACAGCGTGTATTTAATTCACACAACTGCTTATCCAGTCCTTATGGGCTCACAACTTGACCTTTGTATCTTTTTATTAACGATGTTCAGCCTTTGTGCTGAACGCACGATTTTCAACAAAAATTGTGCATAATTCTGGAGCATCTAATCGTTACTCTAAGGCCAGGCTAACTCAGTATATTTTTAGGAGTGGCTGCAACCGTTACTCATAGAAAATGTTGATGACCTTTTTTTGACTCATAAACCGATCAGTTATAATTCATGAATTCAGAGAGAGGCAACAACTCAAAAGCGCATCTCAACACACAAATTTTGACATTTATTAAACAACTTTTGTGTTGGTCACTTTTACAATTTAACAACTTTCACAACTTATGAGGAAACACTCTGAACATTCCGGAAGCCATTGCTTTAGGCTCTAGTCTAGGCAATAGTCATTGACATAAGCGATTTTTAAATGCATCGCGTGCTATCGTCGTTTTGGAATCGTGATTCTACCTAGATTAAATTTGCAACATCAACGTAATTTTCTGTATTATGAAGATTTTTTAAATAAGGTTATAACATAACCGGCAAATGCATGACAAACATGTGTATTACATTTAGGAATGTTTTCCGGGCTTTGAAGCCGTGGTCTATCGGAATTTCTTCCTGACGTTTCGTCCACAACTGCGGTGGACATTTTCAAAGGCGATGAGGCAGTGGGCGAAGTGATCTCCGGTGCTTTCCGACTAAGAATGAATCATCATTCTTAGTCGGAAAGCACGGGAGAAATTCGATTTAATGGAAATATTTTTACGAACTGGACTGTTCCATTGGAGAAAAATCAATTTCTGACGTTTTCAGCTTAACCAAGAATACGACCAATTTCAAGACCACCCTTTATTATTTTTCGAAATTGTCTTGTCATGGCAACAGAATTTGATTTTTTAAAAAACTCCTTAGATAAGTAAAGGAGCCGTTGAGCAAAAATAGTCAGATCAATCAGGCTTATCGCAGTCGAACTTGCGAATCGAACTTACAAAACAAGTCAAATGAGGTGAAATCAGGGCAACAAGGTGGCAAAATTATCGGGCCAAAACCAACTCGTTTATGGAATTTAATGGTCTTTCCGAACATGAAATCTTCAAACTGGACTATTCCATTGAAAGATAATCAGTTTATGCTGCTTTTACCTTAACCAAGGAAACGAGCAATTTCAAGACACCCTTTGTAATTTATCGAAATTGTGTTGTCATGCAAGTTTTTCGGGAGTTGTTTTCACAAAAAAAAATAACATAATTTAAAAACGCTTTACATAAGTAAAGGAAACGTTGACGAGGCCTACCGCAGTCGGCAATAAGGTCCATGTCTCATTTTAAAAAATCTATGTTGAAGGCACTGTTTGTTGAATTGGGAACGCCACATTGCCAAAAATATTTTAAAGTGATAGAACATATCCCACTACTCAGTTACATACATTTTCAGAAAAAACGTGAATTGCGTTCTCCCACCGTGGATCAACTCAAAGTGACAGTAGCGCTACGAGGGCACAGGTTTGGCCCAAATGAAAACGTGTACGACGCGGATGTGACGACCCGACACTGGCCCGCTTCAACCGAATTTGCTGCACGCGTAGCGTTTTGATTCGCAAATAGCGACGCAGTGCGTATCTGCTTCAGTTATTATACTTTGCACTTTGAAAGGGGAGCAACTCCCACACTGCTGAGACAGAGACAAAAATAAGTCCAGTGCGAACAATTTTCATCCTTCAAATAACAATTACTTACTTCCCAAACAATTTATTAGCCTTCTGCTTAAAAAAAACCATTCATCAAGCGCACGAAAAACTGTGCCTCACCGCAGCGTCGCTCGACTGATGCTGTGTCGCGTCGTGTCAATTTGCGCTGTTTCGTTGGTTTTCACTAGCTACCAAAAATCGCGCTGCGGTATACCGTATCGCGCGAGTTGTACGAGTACCAATTTGCGCCTAGTCATAGTCTTACCTCTGCTTGTGCCGATCCCCAGGTGTTCCATATATCCAAAATTTTTGAGGAAGGGTCTAAAGATTGCTCGACACCTCGCCACCGTTCGGTAATTTGATAGTTCTGCGGTATTCCCATGTGTTTGCCCTGTAACAATGAAACAGCATGACTTAATTGAATACCGTCTGCTTGGCTTACCCACCCTTTGTTCTTCATCTGCGCATAATACTTGAATCACGTCAATGCAGGTGGTGTCTTCGGTGATTCCAGACACCCAGCGCTGCTCGCTTCTGACCCATATTGGAATTTCATCGCCGCTACTGCAGCTGCTATCCAGATCGGAATTATCCTGGTTCTTAGACATTCGGCTCGTGTTGCTTAACCACATTTTATGCTGGAAACTAAACAACAGCATTACAGTTAGGCTTATAAAACCATCCAATCCAAGAATCAACCACTTTGAAATTGAATGCAATTCCAGATGCATTTCTTGAACAAATTTACTAAAACTATGAACCAGATTTGTATTTCATAGAGTCATAAATCCGCTGTTGTTAATTGGCGTTGACAACATTTGCGTAACGAAAGCAATTTATTAATTATTTCATAAAGACTTCCAGAATTCACCGACCGCTAATTAATTGGATACCGATATATAATGGATTACACAATATTTATGTGACTGTGCAAGGTGTTAATACCGTGACCGACTTGACGGGCTTGATCGATCAATTTCATCAAATCCCCGTTTAGCCTAAATAGCAAAACTTGCACTTAAACTCGTGAATCTCTTGAATGTGATCAGATTAGATTCACTCATTGATGATTATTCATCCAGTGTCTCATCTTCATTTTGTCTTTCTCTGACCTGAAAATCGAACTAACAAACCAAGTGAGCAGGGGTTAAATCAGGCTAGTGAGGTGGCGAAATGATGAGGCCAAAACCATTTCCAGGCCGATATTTCTAGTGCATTTTTGAGGCCAAATTTCAAATGTATCGCTGCTGGAAGTTGGGAGTTGTGGCATCTTAACCACAAACTCGCTCAATTGGGTCATTCGAAAGTATCTCGCTTAGACGATTTTCGAAACTCCATTTTGCCACGAAATAAAACTCGATTTCTCATGCTACTTCACCAGGGTTGATGACCCCCTTATGATGCTAAAATATTTAAAGTTTAGATCTACTGGCAGTTGGGAGTTGTAGCCTGTTAACAATAAGCGCACCCATTTAAATATTTCGAAAATTTATATTGCTTTCAAATTAATTGAAACTTCTCACTCTCCTTAAGCAGGGTTTTTTCTAAAACGATACAAATTGGGAAGTTTGCATTTACTGGAAGTTTGGAGTTGTAGCTTGTTAATCACAAGGGCGGCAATTTGAATCATTTGAAAGTTTCTCTTTTGATAAAATTCTTGAAACAGTATTTTACCAGCAAATTAATTGAACCTCTTCATGTTCCTTTAGCAAGCTTTTTTTCACAAACTTGCAAAATTTGAAGTTTGTATCTGCTAGGAGTTGGACCTGTTAACCACAAGCGCCGCCATTTGAACAATGTGAAAGTATAAAATTTGGAAACTTCTTGACATACTTTCCTACCCGCCATGTTCTTAAAGGTCGCCGCACTTCTGAAGCAGAGTTTCCTCTAAGCATTTGCAAATTTCCAAGTTTATAGCTGTTGGAAGTTGGGAGATGTGGCCTGTTAACGACACGCGCAACCATTTGAATTATTTGAAAGTTTCACGTTTGGAAAATTATAGAAATGGTATTTTGCACCCACTTGAATTGAAACTCCTCACTGTTCTTCAGAAGGTGTTTGTCAACAAATTTGCAAAATATAAAGTTTGTAACTGCTGGAAGCTGGAAGTTGTAATATGTTAACTAGCCTGCACACTTAAATATTTCGAAAGTTTCAAATTTGGAAATGTCTAGAAAATTGGTTTCCCACTACTTCTATCTGACTGGCCCTTCTTGTGTCCTTGACGTAGGATTTCATCTATGAAGTTATTATTATGGCCTATTAAGCACAAGCGTGGACATTTGTATGATTGAAAGTTTTAAGTTTGGAAAATTCTAGAAATACTTGCCTACCCTCCATGTTCTCAGAACTTGCCACACTACTGAAGCAGAGCTTTCTCTAAGCACTTCCGAATTTTCAAGTTTCTAGCTGCTAGGAGTTGGAAGATGGGGCCTGCTAACGACACGCGCGGCCGTTTGAACTATTTCAAAGTTTCACGTTTGGAAAATTATGGAAATTATATTTTACACTTAAACTGACTGAAACTTCTTGTATCCGGTAGCGTTTTGTCTATGAAGTTTCAAAGCTTCAACGTTGTAGGTGATGAAAGTTTGCAGTTGTGGCTTGTTAACAGCAATTGCTTGGTTGATTCGAAAGTTTCAGGTTCGGAAAATTCTCGAAAATCTACTTTCAATTAAAATTGACTGAAGCTCCTCAAACTCCTTAAGTGAGGTTTCCAATAAGTTGACAGATTTGAAGCTTATGGCTGCTGGAATTTGAAAGTTGTGGCCTCTTAACGACAAGCGCGCCCATTTGGATAATTCGAAAGTTTTTCGCTTCGAAAATTCCAAGAAACTCTATTTTACCTTGAAAAAAAAGCATTCCTTATGCTTCTTAAGCAGAGTTTTCTCTATGGCGTAGAAAAATTTGAAGTTTGTATCTATCGGAAGTTTGGAGTTGTAGCCTGTTAACGATATTACATTACAATTACATATTTTGAAAGTTTCCAATTTGGAAATTTCTAGAAAATGTTGCTCTCAAATAATGTGAAACTTCTCAGGCCCCTTAAACAGGCTTTTCCCTATAAGTATACTAATGTGGGAGTTTGTATCTGGTGGAAGTTTGGAGTTGTGGCTTGTCAACCACAAGCGCGGTAATTTCAATCAATTGAAAGTTTCACTATTGATAAAATTTCAGAAACTATATTTCACCATCCTATTAATTGAAACTCATGCCCCTTAAGCAAGCTTTTCGTCAAGAACTTGCAAAATTTGAAGTTTGTGTCGGCGGGGGATTAGACCTGTTAAGCACAAGCGCTGCCATTTGAACCCATTTGAAAGTTTCAAGTTGGGAAAATTCTAGAAATACTTTCGTACCCGCCATATTTTTAAAACTCGCCGCACTTCTGAAGCAGAGTTTTCTCTAAACATTTACAAATTTCCAAGTTTTTAGCTGTTGGAAATTGGAAGTTGTGACATGTTGACAACAAGCCTACACACTTCAACATTTCGAAAGTTTCAAGTTTGGAAAGTTCTAGAAAATAGATTTTACACTTTAACCGACTGAAACTTCTTGTGTCCTTGATGTGGGTTTGGTCTATCAAGCGTCGTTTCAAAGCTTCAAGGTTGTGGGTGATGAAATTTGGGAGTTGTGGCCTATTAAGTACAAAGGAGCCCATTTTGTACCATTTGAAAGTTTTACGTTTGAAAGATTCTAGAAACTCTATTTGCTAATGAAGTTGATTAAAACTGCTCACATCCCCTAATCAGATCTTTTGAATCTTTCAGACAAATTTGAACTTTTCAGCAGAAGAAAGTTGGGAGTTGCAGGCTTTTATAAATGGTCAGGCCAGTTTGGCACACCACAGACATTCAACTTTTAAAAGCGACTGTTTCAAATTGTAATGACTTTCCCCACTCTCATCGAGGTCGGTATGTCACATGAGCTTTAAGCCAAAATAATGCAAAATTACCTCAATTATCTTAATTTGGAAATTTGCGGAGAAATACGTGTTTTTCATATTTAATTTTCCATTGATTAAAAATCGTTTCTAATTTTTTTCTCATAACACCTTTCAAGAAAGGAGATATGTATCCTGAAATGTCCAAGCTCAGAGTATTTTCAAAGGCACGTCCGGTGTCCGGTAGCCACCCTTACAGGACACCAGGAATACTTTCAAAAATTGAAAAAAATATTTGCTCAAGTTGCGTCAATTATGCGTAATTTTCAACACATTTTAAGAGCGGGTCCCTTGGTCCAGTAGTAATAATTCATATCTCGTACCCCATTTCTTTCGAACCGAAATCCGCTATGTAGTTATATGAAACGGGTAACTGTACTGCGCTGTCAATTTTGTGCAATTTCAATAAAATAAGCCTGTAAGAAACTGTACCCTACGGGCAGCCTGCAACAGAACAACACATCATTTGTGAAAATGCTGAATACCTGAAAAATGGCTTGACTGCTCGTGATCACCAGAGGGTTTTAATCGGCGCTTTTCTGAGCACGTGGTAAGAGAGACCGAAAACTGAGAAGTAGGTGGAAGGTTGTAAATCTTCGGTGGTCTTTCTTCGTGATGATTTGCGTTTAAATGTTAAGAGAGTGTCGTTACCGTGTGTATATAACAATGGCGCTTTGTACCTTGAAAAAAAAACCACTATGTAAGTATTTCGTCATTTGCTAGCCTACTTTCCATTGTCTCCCTGATTTTGATAAAATATTTGCGAAGAAAACCAAGCACACTTGGAAAAAATGCGTCGGCCTGGTAGCTAATTATGAAAATTGATTATATTCAGCATTAGTATGATTTTCTAAGCGATTTTAAATCGACATGAGTGTTTTTTTTTAAATTATAATATATTTTCAGAAACCCTAGAAAAATCTACACCAGCTGCTAATTATAAATTCACCAGTCGAAAGCGTTCTATTGTTTAATTAGAAATATTGTATTTCAAAAATTGTGGATTGATGAGGACAGAGGAAGCGCTCTTGACTTCTCTAAATCTTACTGAAGTGGAAAAACGCAAAAAATAAAGGTAAGCAAAAATAGAATAGATGATAAATTTATTTATCTATAACCTGTAATCGCAAATTACACTTGGGCTTTACAGTGAAGTTTATTAGGCCCACTTTTATTTATTTTATATGTAAATGATCTTAATTATCAAATAATTAATCCAAATAATTGCATAATGTAGGCAAGGCATAATGTAGACCGGCACAGTGACTCACCGGTGCAGTTGCGCTGCAGTCATCCATTTGGTAGAATGCTCTTATAAAACGTGGTGAACTTTGAACTCAACTTTTTGTTGGGAGTTGAATTTATCAGAAACAAAAAATAGTCTACAAGTTCAGAGTTGTGCTTTCAGTAAAGAAGACTACGCTCTAAATGTCGTCAAAATAATTTCAAACCTTAAAAAGTTCATTCAAATCACATGAGATCCTCCATCATATTTCAGTCGATTTAGCAATAAAAAAACAGGCAAAACGAAAACTCTTGACCGCTTTGTAACAATAAAAATAATACTGGAACCCACATTTTTATATCTGAAACGCTTCTTTGGAGACAAGCTTCAGATAATCTTAGTGTAGAAATAAAAATGTTAAAAATGTCTTAAGTACGAAAGAATGGATTAATCGGAACCAAATCCACACTATCAGTAAGC